AATGCTTGATTTATGACCTTCTGAAACTAATAGAAGCTCATGTAGTCACTATTTTGATGTAATGTGTAACCCAGGACAACCCAGATCTGTGTTCCCAGGCAATAGCCCTTTGCAATTGGCTTAGGGCTTATTTCCTTTGAGGTGAGGAATATGTTTTATGTCAACACTGGTTCACTGCCTACATCCCAGTCAGTTACTTCAGTTTAACCAGGCCTTTCCCTGCTTCCCCATAAACAAACAAAGTGATTTTTGTGCTCTACTCCTAACCTCCTCAGTGGCCTCCACAGCCCTCAGTGGCCTTCTGCCTTGTTCTTTATTCAGGCTGTTTCTCACCAGGTCTTCCTGGGCTGCCCATTTGCTCTCCTACCAGGAACAAGCTTCTCCCTCTCCACTCTTTGGCCAAGTGACTGTTCATCTTGTTTTCCCATTCATGAACTAAGAAGCTTTCTTAGATAACTGCCAACTTTAGGCTCCATACTCAAAATTCAAGATTTCTACACACTTCCATGGCCCTTATTCCTCACCTCGCTGTACTGTTATTGTTCTGCCACCTGCCTATCTCTCCTGGTAATGGCAGTGGCAGCTGCTACTGCTGCCAGCCGACCCCCCCCGCCCCCACCACCAGGACTTGGGGGGAAGAGGAAGCAGGTGGGAAGAAAACAAAACACTGCAAGGTAGACAGTACCAGATGATTGGCCCTTGTGGGGTTGGTAGGGGTTTGTTTTGTGTTTGTTTGTTTGTTTGTTTGTTTGTTTGTTTTTACTAGAAATGGGGCTTGCCCAGTAGATGAAAAGATGCTTATCATGCATTCAGCAGGTGTGCATCTCCATTCCCCAGCACACAAAGTATGTCTCTATCACAGTTGTTAATTTCTTTTCTTCCTCCCCTCCCTTTCCTTCTGCTCCCAGCCTCACTTCTCTCCCTTTTCCTTTTTTAATTAAAAAAATTATTTTATGTGAATGAGTGTTTTGTCTATATGTGTGTAGGCGCACCATGTGAATGCACCTGTGGAGGTTAGAATAAAATTTTTATTTTATGTGTATGAGTGTTTTGTCTATAGATGTGTAGGTGTACCATGTGAATGCCTGTGGAGGTTAGAAGGGGGCATTGGATCCCCTGAAGCCGGAGTTATAGATGGTTGTTAGCTACTATGTGGGTGCTGGGAATGGAATCTGAGTTCTCTGAAAGAGCAGCCAGTGCTGTTAACTGCTGGGCCATCTCTCTAGCCCTGCGCCCCCCACCCCCTACCCCCTACCTTTTAAAGACAAGGTCTCACCATGTAAACTCTGGCTTGCATGGAACTCACTATGTAGACCAAACTCAAAAAGATCTGCCTCTGCCTCTCAAGTGCTGAGATTAAAGGGATGCACCACCATGCCCTGCCCTCCCCCCCTTTCCCCCCCTTTCATTTCTGTTATATATTAGTACTGGGGTCTCAACCCAGGACATTGCACATGCCAAGTGTACACTTTACCACTGAGCTACACCACTGGCAACAGTTGTTTTTTTGTTGTTGTTTTTTTTTAAATTTCAAGGAAAGAGATTTTCAAGGCTGGAGAGATGGCTCAGCTGTTAAGAGCACTGACTGTTCTTGCAGAGGACTTGGGTTTGGCTCCCAGCATTCATATGACAGCTAACAACTGTCTGTAACTCCAGTTTCAGGGGATCTGACTCCTTCTGACCTCTACAGGCATTGTATGTGGTGCACTTACATACATGCAGATAAAACACTCATAGCATAAAAAATAAAAGTTTTCACCCACTACTAAAAGATTTTTGGGTTGTTTTTAAAATGTAATTTTCAGAAAAAATTAAACCTTATAAGTTTTATATAGTCAAATTTATATCTTAGGAAGTACTTAGCCATCCAAATTGCATTTTTTTTATTTCTAGGATGCAGTATCTTTTTTTCTTTTTTAAACTGGCATCTCAGATGCACAAATTCTTGATGTAATTTTATTTTTAGATGTAATAATTTATTAGTTGTCCTTAATGCAAGATGGTTTAAGGAAGGCAATATATTTAATAAAGAGAGCCTTATCTGATAGGGTATTCTAATATTTAAAAGTTAAGGTGTTTAAGGACCTTATAATTCTTTAGAAATATTTGTTGCTTTTAGAAACAGTTTTTGTTTACTGATCTTGTATTTGAAACTTTGCTGAATTCATTTCTTAGCTTTAATAGGTTGTGTGTGTGTGTGTGTGTGTGTGTGTGTGTGTGTGTATTCAGGATTTTCTATATGTAGAATTATATTATTTACAAATAGAGGTAGTTTTACTTCTCCTTTTCCAATGTGAATGCCTTTACTAGTTACTTCTCTCATTGTTATAACAATATTTGACAAGTCTATTGTGAAACTTATGTAGTAAGTTTTTCATTTCAGTTATTGTACTTTTATAACATTTCTATTTGATTCCCTTATATAATTTCTATCATAATTGATATTCTCTATTTGTTCATGCATTCTTGTCCTGATTTTATTTTGTTGTCTGGTAGATTCTGCAGCTCTCCTAATATATTTAAGACAGTAAAAGTCTGTCAGAGATTAGACTTCTTCATGGGTAGCTTCTATAATTTTCATTTTTTTCCCTTAGAATAGTTCATACATCCTATTTCATTGTATATCCTGTAATTTTCTGTTGAGAACTGCACATTTCACATAAAGGAACATAGTAACTCTGGAATCTAGAGTCTCTGAAATGCTATAACTGTCTATTTAGCAATTTTTCTCCAAACTATTTTTTAAAAGACTGTATTCCTTGTTGCCTGTGATCATTGAGATCTCTTTTCTGTTTTCTATGAGGTCAGCCAACAATTTCCTTAACTATCTGGGTCCAATAAGGAAAAGGAAAGTTTCTATGCCATTAATTTCTTGTGAAAGATTGTATGGGAAACCTTTCAGCCCTTAGGGGACTAAAGCAATGACCAGCTTCTACTCTAGTCACTCACTGAGCAGTCAGGTAAATCAAAACACACAGCTTCAAATTATAGAGGATGTTCCCACTCCAGTCAGCAGGCTACTCCAGGAATAAAAGCTACTCTCCATTGCTACCTGTCATAGTCTGGAGTATGGATGTTGAAAGCTATTAAATACTTGAATTCACTGAAGCCTCCCACTTTCTTTTTTAGTCCAGCACTTCCCTGGATGCTGTGAACATTATTAAGTAAACATCAGAATTTGAAATAATTGGTTCTAGCAGTTCTTGTCAAGGTCAGTAGTTGGTTTGGTAGAGGGACTGAGTTCTGGAGTGTTTGCCACCATCTTCACTCTTGTATTGATTCTTTTTAAAATTTGTTACATTTATTTATTCATTCATATTTTGTTTGTGTGTGTGTGTGTGTGTGTGTGTGTGTGCGCTCGCATGCGTGCACATGCCACGGCATATGTGTGAAGGTCAGAGGACAACTTGTGGAAGTTGGTTTTCTCCTTTCACCATGTGGATCCTAGGGATCGAACTCAGGTTGTCAGGCTTGGGGTTAGTGCCTTTACCTGCTGAGCAATCTCACCAGCTCCTGTGTTGATTCTTCTTGAAATAGTAACATTAATATTGTAATGTTGCATTGACTTATGGGAAGAACTTGTTTAAGAAAGTAGTGGATTATTAATATGCATGAGTAGGTATAGAGTTACTCCTTACAGGTTAGTTACCATCTGTCTACTTCACCAATCAGGATAATTTATCCAAAAGACAGAATTTTGGGGTATTTGAAATGATATCATTACATTGTAGTAGATCATAACTTGTGACTGTGCAGGAAAAAAAATGACATTTCTTCATTGTGTATGTAGCTCCTGTTTATTTTAGGTGAGTCACTGATAACTGGGGGTGGGGTTGGGTAAGCAGCACAATTTAAAACTTAATCTAGTATGATGACTTAAAATAGTCTGTTTAGCCGGGCATGGTGGCGCACACCTTTAATCCCAGCACTCGGGAGGCAGAGGCAGGCAGATCTCTGTGAGTTCAAAGCCAGCCTGGTCTACATAGTGAGTTCCAGGACAGCTGGAGCTACAGGGAGACCCAGTCTCCAAAAGACAAAAAAAAAAAAAAATTTTTTTTAGGTAGTATTACTGTTTCAGTTTCCTTATATGTTATGGGTCTGTTTAAACTGTTGATCTCTTCCTGGTTTAACTTTGTGCAGCTCTCTATGAGATGAGTGCTCAGTATCTCCATCTGTTTTCTTACTGATTTAAGGTATAGGAAAAGGTGTGTGACCTCTGTGATCTAGAGCAGGACACTGTTGCCTTGATTTGATGTCCACTATTCCTTGGTAGCTTCTGCTGATGACATCATGGCTGGTGTGATGCACAGTCTGGTTTCAGGTTGGTGCGGAGCTGGTGCTGTTTCCCCAGTTTCAGTCTCTGGCTCTGGATCTCTGACTTCTTGAGTGTCTTGCCTATTCAGTCTGTTGGACTTTATTCAGCCTTTGCTACAGGATCACTGCTCCACAGCAGTCCTTCTCTCTGGCCCATTAGTTCAGAAAATCTGAGTTCCAGAACTTACCATTACCTGACTATACCTAGAAAACCGGTTCATTGAGATAAAGGCCTGGCTTACAAGACTTGGACATACTATATAATCCTCTTCCTGTCAGATGCTGCATATTATTTCATTTGATCTTGTACTTCCTTCACAGAGCAGTCTCTCTCTGCTTCAGTAAAGACCAGTTTCCTAGGACATCAGATGTTCCCTTCACACTAGTGCAAAGGTCTGGGATTTGGAAAGGCAAAAGAAGAAAATAATTTTCAAACACTATCATGATTAGATATATGAGGATGCCATCTCAAGAATTATGTGATTTTAAGTGTACTATGGCCTTAAACTTAAGGAATGTAGGCTTTTTAGAGAGGCCGTGTAGTATGCACATATTTAATTTTATACCTATGGTGAAGCTACATATCTGAAACGTGTATAATGCTAAGATGCTTGATTTCTGGGCATCACTATTTTCCTATAACCAAAAATGTTGTGATTTCATGTATACATTTTCCTCTGTTGTAGGACAGTTCGTGTTTGGTTAAAGAGAGACAGTGGACAGTACTGGCCAAGTATATACCATGCAATGCCTTGTAAGTATCTGGGTCTCTGTCCTGAGAAACTTGATTTGCACTCCAACTCCCTCCTTCCCTTCCCCATTTGCCCTCTTTGTATTTTCTTCCTGAGTAGAGAAGACTAAAGGTTGGGAATTTTATTATAATGAAAAGTATCATTAAATCATTTTAGATTTCCTAAGGTTCTCACTATGAGAAGTAAGAAAATTGTTCTGAAGCTGACTGCACACTCATGGGTTCTGAATGAGAGTAGTGGAAGAAGGCTCCCGTACAGGATGTGGGCTCTGACTGCAGCAGCCCCTCCTCTTTGAAACTTTCTATTTAACTTTGGGAATCTATGTCCTTGGATAATTTAAATTTTTGTCCAGTGATTACATTTGTGAAGGAAATTTGTCCTTATATTATTATTAAAGCATTTATTCAAATTCAAGACATTCAACAGTGAACATTCAGTTCTCAATGATTTGCATAGGCTTGAAGCATTGTAATTAGAAGTGGAGGCTCATTTCCCCAAGATCTTACTGCAGAAATATGTCCTCGTATTGATTGGTAAATAATGAGTCTTTCAAATAGACTTTAAAAAAAAAAAAGCACAAAAAAAGTTTCTTAGATTGTACCACTAATAT